AGTATTTCGAGTTTTTTCAAATATATTCCCAGAAATGGGATCACTGGGTCAAAATGTAGTTCCATTTTTAATTTTTTGAGGAAATTTTATACTGTTTTCCACAGTGGCTGCTCCAGTCTACATTCCCACCAACAGTGCATGCGGATTCCCCTTTCTCCACACCCCTGCCAGTGTTTGCTTTTTGTTGATTTATTGGTGATAGCCATTCTGATAGGTGTGAGGTGTTATCTCATTGTGGTTTTAATTTGCATTTCTCTTACATGTAGTGATGTTGAGCATCTTTTCATATGTCTATTGGCCATCTCTATTTCCTCTTTGGAGAAATGTCTATTCAGGTCCTTTGCCCATTTTCTAATTGGGTTCTTTTCTTGGTATTTAGTAGTAAAATATATAAATTCTTTACATATTTTAGAAATTAACCCCTTATCAGATGTATCATTGGCAAATATATTCACCCATTCACTGCGTTCCCTTTTCATTTAGTTACTGGTTTCTTTTGCTGTGCAAAAGTTTTTAAGTTTGATGTAGTCCCATTTGTTTACTTTTTCCTTTTCTGTCCCTTGCTGGAGAAGATATATTGGCAAAAATATTCCAGGAGAGATGTCTGAAATTTTACTGCTTATATTTTATTCTAGGATTTTTATGGTTTTGCAACTTACATTTAAGTCTTTAATCCATTTTGAGTTTATTCCCGTGTAAGGTGTAAGTTGGTAGTCTAGTTTTATTTTTTGCACATATCTGTCCAGATTTCTCAACATTATTTTTTGAATAAACTGTCTTTATGCCATTATATGTTTTTGCCTCCTTTGTCAACTATTAATTAACCATAAAGTCATGGGTTTATTTCTGTGCTCTCCATTCTGTTCCATTGATCTATATATATATCTGTTTTTATGCCAGTACCATGCTGTTTTTATTACTATGGCCTTGTAGTATAGTTTGATATCAGATAGTGTTATACTTCCAACTTTGTTCTTCTTTCTCAAGATTGCTGGGGCTATTCAGTATTTTTCTTTTTTTTGGTTCCATATAAATTTTTGGAATATTTTTCTAGCTCTGTGAGATATGCCATTGGTACTTTAATAGGAATTGTGTTGAATCTATAGATTGCTTTGGGAAGTATGGACATTTTAATGATGTTAATTTTTCCTATCCATGAACACATTATGTACTTCCACTTATTTGTATCTTTCTCAGTTTCTTTCTTTAGTATCTTATACTTTTCTGAGTATAGGTTTTTTACCTCCTTGGTTAAATTTACTCCCAGGTACCTTATTTTTTTGTTGTTGTCACAATAGTAAATGGGATTGTTTTCTTAATTTCTCTTTCTGATAGTTCATTATTGGTATATAAAAATGCCATCGATTTCTGAGTATTGATTTTGTATCCTGCTTCTTTGCCAAATTAATTTGTTAGATCTAGTAGTTTTTTTATGGAGGCTTGGTGTTTTTTCATATACAATATCAAGTCATCTGTGAGTAATAACCATTTTACATCCTCCTTTCCAGTTTGGATGCCTTTTATTTCTTCTTGTCTGACCAATGTGGCTAGTGCTTCTAATACTATGTTGAATAAGAGTGGTAAGAGTGGACATTCCTGTCTTGTTCCTCATTTTAAGAGAAACACTTTTCATTTTTGCCCATCGAATATGATGTTGGCTGTGGGTTGTCATATGTCGCCTTTATCTTTTTTCCTCTTTGGTGTTTAGAAGTTATTTACATATTCATATCTATTTCATTGCTCATTCTATAGTTTGCAAATATAGTTTCCCATTTGGTGGCTTGTCTCCTCACTGTATTTATGGTATGTTTTGACAAGCAGTTCTTCATTTTAACATAGCCAAATATATCCAGCTTTTCCTTTATGTTGTTCTCTTTTGCCTTGTGAAATAAATCCTTTCTTACCCTGAGATGCCAAAGATACTCTCCTATGTTTTCTCCTAAAAGTTTTATAACCTTACCTTTCACATTAAGTAGCCCCTTGGCTGTTGCTGCATTAATAGGACGCAGTCCTACTACCATGACTCTGTAATAAATGTTTGTGTCTGGCAGCACAAGTCCCCACTTGCTCATTTTTTTTCAGCCTATCTCAGCAATTTTTGTCCCTTAATATTTTAAACAAATTTTATAATTAGTTGTAAAAGAAAAAAAATCTGTAAGGATTTTGATTATACTTGCAGTATAATCACCCTCTCCATTTGAGAAGAATTACCATTTTTATAGTATTGAGTGTGTTCAAGAGCATGTTCTCTGTCCTTTTACCCGTGTCTTTTTAAACGTTCTTCACTGAAATTTTGCAATCATTACTTTTAAAATATTTTGTATGTGTTTGCCAAGATTTATCCCTTGGCTTTTTTTTTTTTTTTTTTTTTTGGTTCCTAATATAAAGAACACTTTAAAACAATATTTTCTGTGGAACTGGAATTGATTTTTATATATTGATTTTGTGTCAAACAACCTTGCTAAATTAACTTATAAATTCTAGTAATTTATCTATGTGCTCATTGGAGTTTGCTATATACTTAGTCATCCTCTGTAAGTTTATGACAGTTTTACGTCTTCCTTCCCGATTTTTTAAGAAGTATTTTATCTCTACTCCTTATCTTAACCACACTGGCTAGGGCTTCCAGTCCACGCTGCACAGAGTGGCGGTGAGGAGAGCCCTTGCCTTGCCCCCGTTGCTGAAAGGGCGGCTTTTGGCGTTCACAGCTGAGTCTAACGTTTGCTGTGAGTTGTTGTGGATCCCCTGATCTGATTAAAGAAGTTCCCCTCTGTCTTTAATTTGTTAAGAGGATTTATATAAATAGATGTAACATTTTATCAAGCACGTTTTCTAATTTCAATAAGATAATTATATTTTTCCCTCAAAATGTTGAAGTGGCAAATACATTATTTGCGCTCTAATCTTAAACCAACTTAGCATGACTAAGATAAGCCCAGCACAAAGTATTTTCTTTTTCCAATATATTCATTGGTTGATTTTGCTAGCAAATACTTTGTTTAGCATTGATGCATCTATGTTGCAGTTGAGATTGGCCTTCAATTTTTCTTTCTTATAACTGCTTTGATCTTACCCTGTGGTTTTGCTGGCTTCATAAAATGAGCGAGGAAGTAATCCTTGTTTCTTCTCTGGAAGAGTGGGTGAAAGGTCAGGATTCTCTGATCTTAGAAGGATTTAGTTAAATTTCCTCCTGAGTCACCTGGGCTTGGTATTTTCTTTCTGGCAAGATTTTAACCCGTAATATCTCTAATGGGCATAGGGATATTAAGGGGTACCAAGGAATACAGTAGGTCTTATTTGTCTAGAAATGTATACATTTCATGTAAATCTTCAGATTATTATCAAAAAAGGTATAATATATTCTTACCTACTTAATTGATATAGAATCTATGGTTATGTCCCTTTTCTTGTTTCTACTCAATTTCATTTGTGCTGTCTGGCTTCTTTCCTTGATTATCCTTGCTGCAGATTTACAAAGAACTAAATTATGAACCAATTGATTCTCTTCACTAAAATTTGATTTCTATTGCAATAAGTTATTCTTCTATGTTTACTATTTCCTTCTATTTTGTGGATTTATTTTCTATTCCTTGGACTGACTTAAGATGGATTCTTTGTTTATTCATGTTAAACTCTCTTTGTTTTTTTGAGTGTAACACTTTAAGCTATAAATTCCACTCTCAGTGCAATTTTACTGGTATGTTACAAGTCTTAATATGCAATATTTTATTATAATTTATTTATTTTTCTTCTTATTGAATTTATTGGGGTGACATTGGTTAATAAAATTATACATTTTTCAGGTACACAATTCTATAATACACCAGCTGTATATTCCATTGTGTGTTCACTACCCCAAGTCAAGTCTCCTTCTAAAACTTTTTATAACCATTACAATGTATTTATATATTTTTAACATTCTGGATATGGGGTTCTTCTAGTTACATTTCTGTCACTAATTTCTAATAATTGCACTGTGGTCAAAGACCGTGATGTATGTAATAATAAGCTTCTGAAATTTCTTGAAGCTTGCTTCATACACTACAGTATGGTCAGTTTTTGTAAGTGTTCTGTGTGCCTATTTAAAAAGAATATGCATTCTGTAACTGTTGGGTGTGAAGTTCTGCACATGCTTATTTGATCAAACTTGTTGACGGTTTTACTCAAATCCACTGCATCCTCACTGCCTTTTTTTGTCTGCTTAATTTATCTATTACAGAGATAAATTAATTTTTTGTGTTAAAAATCTTTCATTTTGTGGAAGATTGTGAATTTCTCCTTGTAATCCTGTCAGTTTTTTAATATATTTTAATGTTATGTTATATGAGCACACAGAGTTTGACTTTATATCTTCCAGGCAAATTGAAACTTTTAGCAACGTATTAAAGATCTTTATCACTAGCTGTGTTTCTTGTAGTAGGCTGTTCTGTCTTATACTAACATAACTAAACCAATTTCCTTCGTATGATATTTTCCTGGTGTCTCTCATTTTATCTTTTGGCTTTCAGTCTCTCTGTACCTTTATATTAGGAAAGATCTTTATAATTGGCATAGAATTGAATATTTTATCTACCTTACTATTTATCTTGTAAATGGAGAGTTTTGTTCATTAACATCTATTCTGTTATATTTGGATTAATTTCTACTATTTTATCATGTACTTTCTATCAGTTCTTCTTTTCCTTAGTTTTTTTTTTTTTTCTGTTTTTGGGTTGAATGTATTTTATTAATGTTTTATTTTCCTTTTTCTTATTCCATTTTTTCCCTGCTGCTAATTTGGGTGTCAGTCTAGCTAGGTCTACTGTTCTAATGGATACCTTATCTATGTTAATCAGCATCCTTAAAAAGGATAAATAGATCATTATTGTTACTCTCCTCACAACCAGTAGAAAGGCTTTAGGATAGTTTGGTCTCAATTATTCATCCAACAAATTACATTCCATCCTTCCCAGTAATTTCAATTGTTCTCTATTATTTATTTAAAGTCTACAAATTATTATATACTTACCCGGCCGGGGAGGTACCGTGATCACAAGGCCGTTTCCCCGGGCGAGGCTCACCCGCGCACTGTGGGTGCGCTGACCCCTGCGATCCCCCGAATACGGGAACCTCGGCTGTGTAATTGGTGGTAGCGGGGGACTGCGTTTGCATTCTCCCCTGGGAAAAAAATAAAGTCCACACATTATGCTTTATTTTTCCACATTTAATGTTTATTTAAATTTACCCACATATTTACTTATATCTTTACTCATTACATCTTTCTGCATTACAGACCTGCTACCTGAGCTATATCATTAAAACTTCCTTTAACGAGGGTCTATCTGTGGAGCTCTCTCTTTCTTTGTCTGAAAATGCATGTGTTCTTGGAAAAAAATGGTTTTGTGGAAGAGCGAATTCTGGGATGACGGGTGTTTGCTGTGCATCTACTGAAAATATCATTCCTCTGTGTCCTGCCTTCCATTGCAGCTACTGAGTAGCCAGCCATCATCTGGTGCTTTTTGTTTGTTTCTTTGTTTTTTGGTGGCGGTTTTGTTGTTGTTTTTCTCTATAGAAATCTGTCTTTGCTCTGAAGCTAACTTTAAGATCTTTTATGTCCTTTTTGGTAATCTTCAGGTACAGACTGAAATGCCTATGTAAGAGCTTCTTTATATTAATTCCACCTGAATTTTGTGGGGCTTTACATTTGGGGTCTTTCAACAATTAAAGAGAATTCCCAGCAAGGATCGCCTCAGAGATGGCTCCTTGCCCATTCTCTCTCTATCCTGAAGCTCTTAGGCTTACGTGGGTTTTTTTCACTGCCCTCAGTGTCTTTTAACAATTTGCATATTTTTCAGTGTTTTGACTGACTGCACTGCAGTTTGGATAACTTCCCCTTCTTTATCATACAGTGGTTGAGTCTCTTTCAGCTTTGTCTAAATCTCCTGTTTAATCCGTTCAACAAGCTTTAAATTTTAATTACACTCTCCATTTTGGGATCTTCTATTCAGCTATTTTACAATTTTGCTTGCTCATCTTTATACCTTCTTTTCCTTTGGTCAAGTTTTAAGGCTTCTCTTTTATGTATCCATTTTGTAAGGTTTATAATACATTTATTGGAGGATATTCTAAAGGCAACTTATGATTTGTCAGCCTAAAAATGGCTTGTTCCTTCATGCCATAGATTAAAGTTAACATAAAGGCCCTCAGAAAATTGTTAGCTTCTTTATCCTGGAATTGCTCATTATCATAGCGCAGTACGGTCATTTTCGCTTTGCTAAAGCACATGTTAAGAGCTTTTCCCATGCTTCTCTTAACAAAATAATTTCACCACAGGCCATCGTTTTTATGTTATTTACTTCAATAAATGTTGTCATTTCTTAGAGCTCACCATTCAATATAAAGGTCCTTATGCTACCACAGATTCTGGGCATATTTGAAGAACCTCGGAAATTGTCTCCATTCCTGACTCTGAAACAATGCTGAGTTTACCCTTGACCTTGAAGGCTGGGTCGGGGCAGGGGCTGTCACCCCTGAGGCTCTAAGAGCTCGCCTAGGCTGCCGGGGGGGGGGGGGGGGTTCCTGGAGAGAACATTTCCGTCCAGGCTGATGTGTCGCGCTTGAAACGGTGAAGCTGCTTGTCTTTGTCCTGAACGGACGTCCGAGAAACTGCAGAGAAGGCTCTTTCCCCTGCTGTGTGGGTCAGGAAGCAAGGCGCTTAGGCAGGGATTCTTCCTCTGTCCTTTAAATATATAAAATATTGTTATTTTATGTCCTGCACCTGAATTTCCATACCTGAACTCTTAACCGGTTTAATTTGGCTGTTTCTGTGGGCTCCTACCCATGGTGACGCTCTTCCTCGTATATTTTGTGACTTTTGATTATAAAAATGATGTCCCTCGGGATATTACCCATGGAACTCCTTTGAGGATGGGATGCTACTTGCATTTCTCCAGAAAGGATGTGTATTTGTTTCTGCCAGTCATCAAGGGATTCTCCCAGCCCCAGGCCAATTGTACTTTAACTTGCCCAGTGGTCCACGTAGTGCCCAGATTAAGGCAGGCAAGCTCCCAAGCATGTTTATTTCTTGTTCACCTTATGGTGTTACAACTTCATGTGCAGCTTCCTATTAGCCTCCTCGCCTTGTGTGGGTATGAGGCTTAAACGTACCTGTTCATCACATACCACAAAGCAATCAAAATAGAAGTTCCAAGTTCTGTAGACACTATCCCATGAAGGCCCCCTTTGAATGTTGCCTAGTTCTTGCTTTCAACACATCTTCAGTCTCTGGAGATTCCTTAATGTCACGCCCCCTTAGTGATGCGTTTTAAAGTGATTTTGAAATATTTGCTTATGCATTTTAGTGGTTTTAGCCAAAGGGTTTTTCATATTGTGTATACCAGACGGCTAGACACAGAAGCCGACGACTCCCCACCTTATTCTGCAGTCAGGCATTTTACTAGGCCATGCCACTGAAGCCGTGCTTGTGAAGGCCACTGATACCTTTCCTGTGGCTGCCTCCTGTGGCTACGATCAGGCATCATCTTACTTGTCCCTCTCTGCAGGACTTGGTGCAACTGATCACGCCCTCTTTCCCAAACAAGTTCTTTCCCTGGCTCTTGCGATACCTTACTGTCCTCGTTTTCCTTTAGCTTCCTGGCTGTGCCTTCCTGGTCCCCTTGCTTGAACTCATCTCCTCTTCTAGACCTCAAAATATTAAAATTCCCCAAACCCCAATCCTGAACTTTCTTCTCTGTCTACATTCTACATTCTAGGTGCTATCTAACCCAACATTTTAAATCCATCTGTGTGCTGATTACTACCAAATTTACATTTTCACCCTACCTCTCAGGAACTCTAGAATTACATTCAGCTGCCTACTAGGTATCTCCCTTATGTGTCCAGTGTCTGTGATGCATCTTGAACCTACTGTACTTAAAACTTACTCCCCTCCCTCCAAAAAACTAGTCCTCCCCCATTCTTCCCCATATCTTTAAATGGCGTCAGCATTTAGCCCATTGCCAGGAGGCAGTATCGAGTTCTCTCATTCCCGTGCACCTCTCCCCCAATCCAACAGGGGGTCCCGTTGACGCTCTATGCAAAATTATCTTGACTCTGACCACCCCTGACGTCCACCGTCCAGGTCAGACCGGCATCTCCTGTCACCTGGGCACGGATTACAGTCCCCTAGGAATGCCCCCTGTGTTTGTGTCCCCATCACCAGTGCCACCTCCACCTACAAAACCTGTTCTCCTCCAGCTGCGGATCGTTTAGAAAGTATAAACCAAGTCACATCATTCTCCGCCTCGGGTTTCTCATGCTGCTCCCCGCGTCTGGAGAGCTCTCCCATCCCCTCCTGCGGCCCGCTCCTTCACATCGCTTACATTCTCGTTCAAATATTCCCTTAGGGGAAAAGCCTTCACTGACCACTCCATGAAAACAGCCCTATTCTTAGTCTCTACCTCCTTATCTCATAGCACTCATCAGTATGGGAAAGCATACAACTTATTTTATCTAGGTTTCCTCTTTACTTTTCCCTAGACTATAAGCTTCATCAGGGCAAAGCCTTCATTTGTCTTATTTATCATCCTACCCTCAGAACCTGGAAGCATGCTAGGGCTCATAATAAATGCTCACTAAACAATTCTGAGTTAAAGAATAATTTTCATTTAATCCTCACAATAACCGGTGAGATAGAAATGATCTTTCCAATCTTATAGATGAGCAAACCGAGGCTCAGAAATGTAAATGACTTGACCATCGGTTACACATCTTACAAGTGTCAAAATCAAATCCAAATGTGTATAATTTTAGAGGCCACAGTATTTTTTTTTATTTTCCATTTTTTTAAAGCTTTTCACTGGGAAATGATTTCAGAGTTACAAAAAAAGTGGCAAAAGTAATACAAAGAGGGCTCTTTTGCCTTCATTCAGCTTTCCCCAGTGATAACACCTTATATGACCACAGTACAATGATCCAAACCAGGAAGTTAATATTGACGTAGGACAGTAGCTATTCATATTTCAGCAACTGTCCCACGAATGGGTCATGTCTCCCGAGCCTCCTCCAGCGCAGAGGTCACAGCCTGGTCTTTCATGACGGACCCTTCAGGAGGGGGCTGCATTCTCATCATCACGATGCAGTCCGTGCAGAGTGCAGGGCGCAAGGGAAGTTTTCCGCAACGAAGCTCTAATTGCGGGGGACATGCGTGACTCTTCCTTTGGAGGAGTGGAAGGGAAATGGCTCCTGCCGTTCTGTTTTGCTTAGCTTGGCAGACCTTGAAGAGTTTATAGAAAACAGTGAGAACGGCTTGCTCAAGAAAGTTGAGAAAGGAGACTTCAAAGGACTGGTTGAGATTATGGGACACCTTGTGGCCCTTAAAGAGCGGCAGAGTGGCACCGATGAGATGTTTGAGCCCTTAAAGCAGACCATTGAATTGCTGAAGGCCTATGAACAAGAACTGCCGGGCACAGTGTTTAAGCAGCTGGAGGTCAGTGCGAAGTTTATGTTTTCTTAATAAAAGAAACAGAGGGGAAGTTTCAGGATTCCAGAGCGGGGTGAGGTGGGTTTCAGCGAATGAAGAACAGAGCTTGGCGGTGAGCCAAAGTCCATGTTTTGGAGCTGCATGTGTAGTGTATGTGTTGTGTATGTGCAATGGCCAGCACATGCTTGAAACACAATAAATATGAAACAGTATAATGGTGGAGATATATAGGGGAATGAATGTATATAAGTGTTTGGGTTTTTCTTTTTTTTCAGAATTAGGGATGAGCCAACTTTTCGATTCAGAGATAAAAAGCAGGTCTGAGAAATGTTAAGATGTTGTAATAAGAAACATGGGACACAGAAAAAAAATCCCAGCACTCTTGGCAGTATGAGAACGGCCGAGGGCCAGGGGGTTCACGGTTAGGCCAAGAAGAATGGCGGTGGGTGGGAAGCAGGAGACAGTCAGAAGCACAGGCCAAGTCAAGGAAGCGGGACTGAGAACGGCCCCACAACCCTAGGGCGCCGTCCCATGGCTTTGCAGCAGGGACGAAGACATCTAGGTGCTGTCCCGCCTCCGGGCAGCGGGGGAGGGGAAGCACAATGCGGGCCTGGCCACACCGACGTCTCCTTTGCAGGAGCTGCCTGAGAAATGGAACAACATCAGAAAGCTGGCCATCACTGTGAGGCAGCACGTGGCC